AGGCTATAGGGGGTATATGCCCCCCCCCCCGATTTGTACAGGCAACTCACTGTGGGTTCAGGACTCTCCGCTCTGCTGCGTTTCCCTTGGGAGCCCTGTGCTGGCTGCACATCCCCTGCCCACTCTGTAGCAGTGAGGGTAGCGAGTTGTGTCCCTCACTGCCAGGCAGGCAGGAAATGCACAGCCAGTGCAGGGCTCCTGGGGCAAAGGCAGCAGAGTGCAGAGCCCTGAGCTCACAGCAGGCACCCCATATCTACCCTCACCCTGCTCGGCTCTGCTCTGGCCATGGGGATCAATTAATTAGAGCAGCTCTCAGAGCCACTCTGAAGTGCCACAGTATCTTGTATCAGTGTCTCTGCACTAAGATATGGTGGTGGTGGTGCTTGAACTAAACCTCATTTGATGAGCTTTGGTTCAAATGCCCCTGCTGCCGTTGTCCTACACAGTGGAGGGAAAAAATATAGTGCCAGAATTGTACAGACCAGTATTAGTATATTGGATTCTAAGGACTACATAATATAATGTATTCTGAGAGGTACTTTGGATTTGCCTGTCAACTGATTTTTTTTTTCTGCTAGGCACAAAGATAGAGCTATTAACACAGAAATAACTAGTGTTTCAAACCATTAGAGAACGGCTGAGGATAATGATTGTTCAAAAGTGTATTTTGATTGGGTGGGTGTTTTATGCTATAGCTTTAAACAAACAAGTGAAACCTCATCATAAAAATAAATGCAACAATTCCTTTGCCCATTATGGTAAGAAAAGGAAAAGACCATCAGAGGAAAAGGACAACAATAAAGAGGTAAGAGACAGAGAAATAAGAGAGAAAAAAATAATGCATCTGTTTTGGACTTGCCTTCATCAATGTGCTGATGTGTGCAAAGGGTGGCCTATTCAGCTATTTTAAGTTCCTATTTGGTGTAATAGATGGACAAGGAGCTGGACAGCATTCCAAATCCAGCTTCATATTAAAACAAAAATCAAAATTGGTTGGCAAGCCATGAATGGATACTAACAGAGCAGCTGCAAAGGGAACAGGATCACACATTGTCCAAGCAACTCTAAAAAAGGATATGTGCTATAAATATCTTAGTGAAAAATAGATCAATATCAACATTGATCAATATCAAAATTGATCAATATATATAGATGATTGATCGCTGTATATAATGATACATCTATACATATATATTGGTGGGTATATAAGGTTTTCTATTCACCAACAGCTACGTTTCTTACAGCAAAGAAATTCTTTATAAAAATTTTCCTCAGAATAAGTAAAACTGTGTAGCATCTCCTTCTCTTACATTTCATTAAAAAAAAAAACAACCCCAAACAATGCAGGTACCAAATTGTTAGCAGTGTTCCACTTTACAGTGTTCCTTTGCTAATGGCATATGTTGTGGGTGGGTGAAAGCCAAAGTCTGAATATAGCAGATGTGGGATCATCTGATCAGAACATTTAACCCTTATTTACTCAAAAGAGAAATCAAGGTTCCTTTAAGACATTGTCCATGTGGATAAACATTCTGGGCATATCCCCATGAGTGGAAGCGTGCATTCCCCAGGGACAACTACCAGCAGCACATATTTGTGCTGCTGCTAGTTGTCCCTGGGGAATGCTCCTGCCTGTGTGCTCTCATGCACAGCAAATTGCCCTGGGTGGGGTAGGAGAGGCTGGCTCCAGCAGCCTTACCTGGGGTCTTGTGGATCTCCCAGAGCTCTAGCGATGGTAATTCAGGCATCTGGAGCCTGGCCAGCAGCCATAGCGTGGCTGTGGATGGCCAAGCTCTGGTTTTTGGTGGCGCACACTGCTGCCATGTGCACCACCCTGTTTTCTGATGCAGATTTTTTTGACACCAGGATCTACTGGTGTCAAAAAACGCACCATGCTGCAAATTAGTAGTGCGATGAATGCCTGCATGTGCACTGTGTGTGATTTGAAGCACCACAGACGGGTGGTCTGCGGCACCACCAATTACACTTGCACACTCATTTGGACACGCTCGATAGATGCAATGATAGCAGTGATGGATGGGGACTGTTTGTGTCATAATGGTGGTACTGAGCTCCATGAGAGAATAAGGAGTGATGAGAGGTAGGCAGGCAGACAATAAAGAAAAGATGGTCCCACAATCTGCAAGTGCTTTTAATAGAATAATTACTTGCTTGTCAATGTAAACTTGTAGTCACATCTTCCACCATTCAGGTGCTCAACAATGAGCAGATAAAGCTCAGTGAAAACAATACAAAAGAAACCACCCCTGCATCCTTGAGAAATGTATAGCAGCTTAACTAGATTCAGAGTATAATACTGTTAACAGTGCAGAAATGACAGCTAATTTCTGTTTATCTACAGATTGTTCCAGTCTTTGAGCCTGATCTATTATATTTAGAAGTGATAGCTTCAGTACCTTTCTCTACAGCAATACCTATTTTTGTCTCAAATTTGCTTTTGCAACGTATCGCCAAACTTCTCACAAGTGGAAATATAACATATTATACCCCTCAGCAACCACGATGAAAATGGATTGAGTAGCGTACCACACACAACTGCTTGGTTGGCAGAACTCACACTTCTGAGTCAGAAGTTCCTGAGCTCAGATCTCACCCTAAGGTATCTCTTTTGGAGACTGTAGTACCAGGGGAGCATTGGAAGTGAAGTCCTTCAGTTGAGATGTTACGGTGAGGTTCATTCACCTTCCTGTGGCAGTCTGTCCTATTAGAAAGTTGGACTCCATGGGACATTTCATAAAGAGCAGGTCACAATTGATGTTTCAAGCAATTATTCTTTCCTTCAGTATAATACTCAAAGCTATTGCTGAGGACAGAGTAGCTTCTGAGATTGTGTACACAGTGACTGCAATGGTAGCAAAATGCTTTGGGTTGCCATAAGCATGAAGAATATTTATGTACAACCACGTTCTATTCTGCCATGTCTTTGTGTTTTCAAACTCTAGTTGTGCTACTGCTGAGCTACAGTAGGTGGTGTGGCTAAGCTTTCAGTTGGATTCCCACATGGTTTGGCTGAATCCATAGTAAAGCAAATCTGCAGTTTCTACTGTTAGCATTTTGGAATAACATCTCAATTGGAGGTTGGTGGTAAAGGTAGAACACAGGCTGTAACTTTCATGTGGCAGAAACAAATAAGTTAAATACATGACAGACCTCAAACCTGATAGTCATTTTGTAAGAAAAGCTTCTTTCATGGTCACTGTCTGAACTAGCACTTAATTGACAAAAGAGCGAAAGCTGTTAAAATTAGGGTTCAGACATGTAGAAAGCAGCACTGCTCTCCTTTGGTTACACACAGGATTTTTTGCTTAATGAGTGCACAAATTCTGTCGCTGAAGTTTGTTTTTTAAAAAACCCAAAAACTCAGAGTAGACTTCTAATGAAGAAATATTTTTTAAACTAAGGTGTGTGCAAATGTATTGTACTTCAGGCTTTGGTAAGAGGTGCCCTCTCCTCACCAACCAGGACCCTTTTGGAGGGCAGTGCAACTGCTTGTATCTGACACTGGGGTTCAGAGTAGCCCAGGTGCCAGTGACTCGTGTGTATAACTGATGGTTGGCAATGAGCACAGACTAGCAGGCTGGATCTAGACTCGCTGTTGGTGGCACTGTAAACCTCTTTGCAATACTACAAACCTCTTTGCAGTGCCAAAAACTGCATGTGCTGCACATTAAATCATGCATGGTACTTGCAGGCCTGGGGCAAAATTTGCTATCAGGAGTTTCTGGTAGCAAAAAAACAAAGGGAAGACAAAAACAGCTCAAAGCACACCAAAGTGGTGTGTGCTGGGACAAACACAGAGATAGGGAAGTCTCCAAGTCCCCAGTCTCCAAGTGTTGTGGAACCCCTGCACCCTGGCTGGCTGGGGCACTGTGTGCCTTGAGACAGGAGCAGGCTGCTCCCATGTCTCTGCATAACTCAGTGCAGGGGTTTCACTGCAGAGTCCAGGGCTGCCTGCTCCCTCATTTCCATGTGCCACTCACTGGCTTGCTGAGTCACAGGGTGTCTCAGCATGGGGGCTGCTTGCCAGCTAGCCCCACACTGAGGAACCTGTGCTCCAGTCAGCTCTCCCTGCAGCACATGGAGCAGTGGGATAATTTGTCCAGCTGCGAAGTGCATGATCAGGGGCGCGCACTGCAGCACAAAATAGGGGCGCACATTTGTGCCGCTATTATTTGTGCTGCTGCAAACGCACACATCTACTTGTGTGGATGCAGCCGTAAAGGGCTCTAGGCAGGCGAACTGGCATATCTTGTCTTGGAAGGTTGTGAACCACCCAACTCTCACTTTTAGAACAGTCGCACAATGGCTTTTAGTCGCAGGTCTGCATTTGAATGGGTGGGGCTGGTATGACTGGTAGCTTTGCACGGGCGTTAGTAAATGTTTCCCTGAATATCTAATAGCCACCTCTGGGTTAGGACTCCCCCACCCTTTTCTTTCTGGAGCTTGGGTTCCAGAGAGCAGCCCTCCTTGGTTTGTGTGAGGATTGTGCATGTTGCTGGCAGCTAGGGAAGGAAATGGGATAAAAGCTGGCAGGCATCTTGGATGGTCTCTCTTCCACTTGCTTTTCCTCTCCATGGCCATATGAAATCTGATGCTTAACATAACCACCAATCTCTTCTAAGTGCTGAAACAATGACTCATAGCCTCTAATATTCTGTGTATTCTACTTCTACAAAGAGCTCTGGCTGTGCTTGTTCCTCTTGCTTGGGGAAATATTTGGACTGTGAAGGACACAAAATGCTTGACTTTCATTAAATGTCTGCCCTATGGTGAGGGGTGCACAGGTACTGCCCCCTCCAAGAGCTCCAGGAATATATCTCACAGCAAAGGAAACAGGGAGGTATCAGGATGACAAGGAGGCAGGGTCCAGTGCATCTTTGGAAAGCAGGCTGGAGTGGCATGACTTTGTACTGTGGCCTGATTGAGCCATTACCTTAAAGGTGCAGTTTTACTGTTCAAAACTGCTGTATGGACCACATTCTGTGGGAGTTCTGCTTGGTCAAAACTCCCACTGACATCCGCCACATTTTTTCACTGAGCAAGGAAGTTAGCATTTGACCTTGTAGTTTTAGGTTCTGTTTTTGCAAAGACTTAAACTCATTCATAACTAAGCATGTGAATAGTTTCTCCAAGTTTAGTGGGATTACTAATGTGCTTCAAACTGGACAGAAGCATACATCTTAGCTGGATCAGGGGCACATATGTATATGGAAGCCCTCCCTTTCCAGCCCAACGTTCATCACAAATAACCCATCTTTTTAAAATTTAGACAACATGCACTTCAAGGTGCTACTGGTACAAAAATCATATGCTTAAAATGTAGGTGCAGTCTTAATGCCTTTTCGACACAACATATTTAGTCCTAGTCTTCATAAATGTGTACACGCGCGCACGTGTGTGTGTGTGTGTGTATACACACACATATATAAAATCAGTTTGCAGGTTCAATATAATAAGAACACACACACTCAAAGGTATTGCCTACATCGCACAAGCTTCTGAAATGCTTTCTTAAAGTCTTCATTGAAGATTGTGTAGATCAATGGGTTAATTAGAGAATTGATGTATCCCAGCCATGCCAGAAAATTAGACATGTCTTCTGAAATGTGACATCTCTCACAGGTGTTAACAACTACTTCTTTTACAAAAAAGGGGAGCCAGCAGATCACAAATGCACCCAAAATCAAGCCCAGGGTGGTTGCTGCTTTCCTCTCTCTCGTGCTAGAGATTCTTTGTTTTTTCCAGGCTTTATCTTGTTTGGATTCAGACTTGGGGCTTCGTAACGAGAGATTAATTCTATCACAGTCCAAGGGATCAGGTGTCTTATCAACTGTGCATGGTGTTGAAGCCAATTTGGTGCTTCTCTCGCCCACCTCCAAGAGGACTTGTCCATTTACCTCCTCCCTTACAATCCGGCTGACGCTTCTTCTGTGAAATGTCTTTGCTGCTTTGTATATTTTGTAATAAAGGATCAGAATCAATGCTAGGGGGATGTAAAATGCTCCAAACGTGGAATAAATGGTAAAAACTATGTGGTCATGTTTGATGATGCATTCATCATCCCTGCTAGTTGTCTGATGTCGCCAAAACAGAGGAGGCATAGAGATAAAAATGGATATGATCCACACCACTGCAATCATGATGCCAGCGTGTTTAGGTGTCCTTTTCCTGGCATACTCCACAGCATCTGTGATTGCTCGGTACCGATCCAAAGCAATAGCCGAAAGATGCAGGATAGAACATGTGCAGCATGTAATGTCAACACTCAACCAAATGTCACATACCACCTGCCCCATAATCCAGGTCTCCTTTACAATATATACAATGCTGAAGGGCATCACTAAAACTGCAACTAGAAAATCAGTTACTGCAAGGGAGCAGATTAAATAGTTGGCAGGGTGATGGAGTTTCCTTGTTACAATTATTGCAGTCATCACTAGAGAATTGATGGCAGTTGTCATTAGTGCAAGCACAGACAGAGTAATTGAAACAAGAATCTTGGATGTCATTCTTTTAAATAGTTCTTCTGAAGTATAGTTTTGTTCAGTTGAATTTATTAAATCCATGTTTTCTTTTAAACGTGATCTCTATCCAAAGACAGTACCTGTAGAAAAGTAAACACACTTTAGAAAATGTGCTGTAATTCTCCAGGAAGGCCTCTTATTTTGTCCTCAGAATAGGCAAGGGGCAAAATTTTCTAAGGCACTTAAGTTCCATGATCCAAGTGGATTTAATAGCTTGCCTAGTCTACAAATGCAGTTGTTTCTGACCCCTTTCTGTTTAATTTAGCCAACTTTGAAAAACCACTTTAGTTTGGATTAAACTATCAAGGCAAAGAAGCTAAACAGAAACAAGATGTTCCTTTGTTATGGAAATCTCTGAAAGCCTGAGGAATTAAGGCTGCCACTCACAGGTTGTCTGGCTCATGGGAAGCCCCTCAGTCTGGATCCAGCCCACAAACCTTGCAGCCCAATGTGGCCTGCAGGGCCCAATTAGTTTGACATCCTTGACTTAACTTCTAAAATTTTGAGAACTTTTCATCTGAGTTAATATTTGAAGCAAGTTTAAGAATAATTTGCTTTGCTAAAATTCCTCTACCCATGTCCCAGTTGTATGCCAGCTGATCCCTGTTTATTTTTAAGTGAGGATAAGTATAATGCAGATATAAAACTTTTTTTTTAAACAGGGAGTAAATGTTATCATGAGATGACTTGCATTACCATGGAAGACAATGAATACAAACACTGCTTGCACATCTCGAGAGCTTAATTAAAGCATTGTTTTGGGGGAGGGGAGGAAAATTAAAATGATGCTATTTTCATTTTATTTTGGAGTCTATGTATTGCTTAATTTCAGCACTATGCTATAGGGTCTGCCATGAAAAAGTAAACAGTCCAAAATATCAATAGACTATATAAAACATTGCTATGATGCAGTTCCTTCCAAAGAGAAACACAAACTGAACAGAAATGGGACTTGATAGCAGTTTCTCTCTACATCAGGGGAATACATCAAGGCCTCAGTGAACAGCTGTTCACAAGGGCACCCTTGGGGAAAACCAGGAGTAATGGCCACAAACTCCAAGGAAGGCCGTTTCAGGCTTAATACTAGGAAAAACTTCTTCATAGTTAGGGAGTCTAGACTGTGGAATAAGCTCCCTTCAGGGGTGGTGCTATCACCTATCTTGCAAATCTTTAAGAGGAGACCTTTCCAGGGTCACCTGACACCAGTCTTCTTTTCTGCGTAGAGTTGGGGGGAGGGCTGGACCCAATGATCTTCCAAGGTCCCTTCCAGCCCCTTACAATCTATGAATCTATGAAAATGACTCAATTTGTGTTGTTAGATGGCAGTTCCTAGCATAAATTTCTTACCTCACTATGGTTCCCCTTATGGTTTTATGGAAGCAGGAAATGGGGAGATACAGCATTTGGGCTATATAATACATTATAAAATAACTTAAATGTGTGTGATTGTACCTTGTGATTGTATCAAGAGAGATTTCTGAATTCTTTACAAATTTCTTTACCCATGTTTTCATGAGAGAGTCTGATGTCTTGATGTGAGTAAATTCTGCAGACATGAACCCTATGTATGATGTTCACATTATCCAACTCCGGAATAACATGAACTGTTTTTCTATTATGTCCCACAGGTTATGGAAAGAGGAGGAGAACTTAAAAAAAAAAAGCAAAACGAACTGTTTACTGGCATATTTAATTTGTACTAAACTGTGCTGTGAGTGGCTAATAAAAATGAGAGGAAATGTCACCTCTAGTTTTTCATATACTAAATTCAACATCAAATCACTAGCTTAATCCAATAATCTATTTTGGGCATACCTAATATATTATGGTATTAGAGTTATTTATGTATATTTAAACCTTTCCCTTCCTGTGCTTGTATAACATGCAATAAACTCTGAACAGATTATTGGTATATATATATGAATAGTTTATATTTTAAACACATCAATTCATCTCTCTTTATATAAAAAGAAACTAATATATTTTAGGCTAGCTTAAAGTAATTCCTTAGCAATT